GGGGGGGGGGGGGGGGGCAGCAAGAAGTTGATCGATCGAGGTGCATGACACACGTCCATGCGACCGGGATGGCGAGCAGGCAGACGGCTCACTCAAAAGAGGATCGCGACGACCCGCAGGAGACAACACAACGCTTGCCAACAAATCTGATTCGCCGGCACTGAAAAAAGAGTGCGCGGCGAATAAGTACGACGTGCATACTGTTCCACGCGGAAAAGAGAATATTCCTAAACGTTGTTATATTTTTAATCCCTTACGTCGCCATAGTCTACCTGGCATCGGTCCTAATTTCAAATAATCAAACGCACTCGCTGTGTTACTTCGTCTCGTGCGACGCTTTTGTTGGGTTTTTGTTTTATGCCGAAGACTACGGGCGGCCGGCCGAGTGATCGGGAAGTCGGGGTGCTAAAAGTTTAAAGCTCTCCTGATGTATGAGCGGGCGGCAGTTTTGGCAGCGCAGCGCTCGCCCCTCCACCTCCACATGCCTCAAAGAAACCCGCCACTAAAATATAATTTGGATTACACACAACGTCGAAAGCGTGTCCCGGCCCAAGGACAATTTGCATAACCAGAGGGGAGGACCCCAGCGACAGGCAGCAGGCGGTCCGGCCGAACACGCCCGACACAAAACATAGCAATGCGGGTATAAAGCGAAAAATTATTGTATTTGTTCTTGATCAACATTGTCACGTTAAAAAATGTGGAAAATACTAAAATCCTCTGCATGTACTGTACGACTGTCTTTTTTTTCTGTTCTGTGATGGCTTGGTGCAAATATCGTATAGTCCAATATTCATTTCGAGCAGTTCTTGTTCTACAAGTACGTAGTCTGAATATGCCCCCTCTCTTTCGGAGTAGTACAAGACTTGAATGGTCCCCATATGCACGCGCGGTAACTCCCCCCCTCCCCCCACTTCCTCCGCTAATGGTTGGCCTGCACGGGTGACACGGGTGGAATTTGTTTTGGCGCGATCCCACGCTCGTGCGCTCCGCTCTTGGGCTAGGTCGCGTCCGGAGTCTCGCGGCGCCCCCTCTCTCGCTGCCGCTCTATCTCACGGTTGCTCTCTCGTTTGTCGCTATTTTGTCTTTTCGGACGCGTCACTATATAGAGGAGGCAAGTTGCGCCCTTGGGACGTTCCACCACCACCACTCCTGGGCGACGGGCGCGTAAAGAGGAGGTAGTGTGTGCGCGAGAGTGTGTGTGTGTGTGTGTGAGTGAGAGAGAGGGACAGAGGGAGAGAGGGAGAGAGAGAGAGAGAGAGAGAGAGAGAGAGAGAGAGAGAGAGAGAGAGAGAGAGAGAGAGAGAGAGAGAAGGGCCGAAGGAGGGGCGCATGCCGGCCGGCGACAGCCTAGCAGATATGCAATGCGTGTACTCACGCGTCCGGCAGGCTTGCCTACCCTGCGCCTGCGGCCTGTGGGCCTCGCACCGTCCGTCCTCGCCTCGCCCTGACTTGACGTTGTTGGAGCGTGGCATACGCCATGGCGACCGCACAGTCTCTGACACGGACACACCTGTGTCTCTCTCTCTCTCTCTCTCTCCTCTGCCCCACCCTGAGCGACC